CTGCCAGGGGCGTGAGGAGCACCAGGACCATGACGGCCCACAAAGCGTCAGGACGGGCGACCATCTTGAGGAGGAGGAAGGCTGTGACGTCACTTGGACACCGTACAGTCATTGATTTCCGATGTTAATAAGACGTCCCCTGAGGATACTTCTCACGTGACCTTTGACCTGGAGGCTTAGGGCGTTGCTGGTGAGAGACAGCAGCAGCAGAAGCAGGAGACGCAGCAGAAGCATGGTGAATGGGGCTGGTCTAGTGCCACCACCCGCCTGCTGGACCCCACACACAGCACGTCCCCAGCATGTTACCTGCAGGGGGAGGAACCAAGTTGTGTTAGTAGGATACAGACTCATTCCTCTCACAGTTACGACCTATAATGATATAGTTAAACGCTTGAGTTGGGTCAGGAGGTCAACACAGATACTAGATCATAATAAACCTAACTATTGATATTTTAGACATTTACTTAAACGGTGAAGGTAGAACCAGTTTATAAATCATGTTGTGTTCGTCTAACAATCCCAACATGGTTATAAAAGTCAATCATGTTAAAAAAGTAACTCGTTCAATAGTTGTTACCAGGTCACCAATTTCTCTTGTCACAGATACTAACGTCACCATCAGATTAACAACCGTATAAGGCCTTAACTTGTGAATTGGGTGTCATTGTCACTGTAGGGAAGCGGTTTTAAGTAAATGTGTCACAGAGGGGAGGAGAGGTGGCCAGAGAGAAGAGGTGGCCAGGGAGGAGAGGTGGCCAGGGTGGAGAGGTGGCCAGGGTGGAGAGGTGGCCAGGGAGGAGAGGTGGCCAGGGAGGAGAGGTGGCCAGAGAGGAGAGGTGGCCAGGGAGGAGGGAAAATGAGAGAAGAGGTGGCCAGGGAGGAGAGGTGGCCAGGGTGGAGAGGTGGCCAGGGTGGAGAGGTGGCCAGGGAGGAGAGGTGGCCAGGGAGGAGAGGTGGCCAGAGAGGAGAGGTGGCCAGGGAGGAAGTATCATGGCATCCATATCTTTAGTAAACACTATACAAACACTTCAACATTAATACTCCACAAATAACAACTACTACTGAATATAAATAAACATTCACCAACATCACATTCAACATTCATCTCATACAACCTATAATTAGTAATGACCTTGTGAAATTATCAATCTTCGTCCTTAATGACAGTAACAACACAGCACAGCACAGCACAGCACAACACAGCACAGCACAGCATAACACAGCACAACATAACACCAGTGACTCTCTCTAAGTTGAAGGTTTGTTATGAATGTTTAGGTTATGAGGTGATAGAAGTTGTTGTTGTGTTGTGTTGTGTTGTGTTGTGCTGTGTTGTGTTGTGTTGTGTATGGCAGATAAAGATAACCCTTCACCTGGCAGACGGGGCAGGTAGCTTTAATATTTTAGGTCTCTCACTGTTATCATTCTCCCCCACCCTCTCGTGTGTGTGTGTGGGGGGGGGGTGTCATCATCATCATCTATCTAATTTTTAACAATATTATTTACTAACCAACCACTAAAACATACTGAAACATCGTTAATATTATAAAAAGTAATTCATCTCAACTAAAAATAAAAACATTCTTGAAAACATTATATTTTTTTTTTTCAACCTTTTAAAAGATGTTATGGCTGAGGTCTACCAGAGGCTGTATAATGAGTGCTGGTCAATAATGTGAGAAGCAGCTTGCAGGCGATAACTTCTGGGCAACAACAATAACATATATCAACTGTGTGTTAAGGAGGTGGTGGGGGGGGTGAGGGAGTGTGTAGCGAGCCAGCCAGCCACCCACCCACCCAGCCAGCCACCCACCCAGCCAGCCAGCCAGCAAAGCCATCCCACCCAACCAGCCAGGCAGTCTTTCCCCCCAGCAGGCCAGGCAAGATCCAACCCAGTTTCTTTCAGGGGTTGTAGGTGGTTGAGAAGGAGGAGCAGGAGGAAGATGAGGAGACAAGAAGCTGAGGAAGAGAGGAGGAGGTGAAGAAGGATCAAGTGAAGGAGGAGGAGGAGGAGGTACTGGGTGTGGAGGTGGGGGTAGAGAATACACACTTATCATCTTTATGAACACCTACCATTAAGATGTACTCCTCCGCCCCCTCCCCCTTCCCCCCACACTAGATAATAAGCCCCACTATAAGACTATTTCATTTACGCCATTAGCTGAGAGGGTAATATAGGTCGTTTATGTCAGGAGCAAAACATAAAGAGAAAAATCTACCTTAAGACCCAAGGAGAATAAGGATCATAATGGCGCAGTCTTCATGAGGTGTCGATATTTATAGTGGTGTAGGTGATAGAGAGTTATGGTGCTATGTAATACTGCTCTAGCTTTTTCTTTACCTAACTGATACAATGTTCAAACCAATGACGTAGACAACAGCAGCTGCCTCACGATTCTCAAAATGATACTCAGGGTAAATTTTGCCGCCCGCCATGTAAATGAGGGGGATGAGAGGGGGTGTAGTGGGGGGATCGGAGTGGGGTGGGTGGGGGGGGAGGGGTTGAGGAGGTGTGAAGTATGGGGAGGGGAGGGGAATAAATGTATCTGATTACACTGAAGTTTGTATGCAATTTTGTCTGTCTGTCTGTCTGTCTGTCTGTCTGTCTGTGTGAATATCAGTGTTGAACAGACCCCCTTCCAGCTCTGACCTTTCTGCTCATCAGGTAAAACACAGGTGAGTGATACTTCTCATTTACACCTGACAAAGTTCTGATTATCTTCAGGTGTGTATTTTCTTGTCTCCTACGAGTTTGATTAAAGAAATATCGACTCTAACCTTTTATCTTCAAATGTCTGTCTGTATGTTTGTGATAGCGCCAATAAATCAATAGGCAGAGGTGATTATATTGTGTTTTGCATTTTACACTTGAGGGAGTTTGAAGAGGAAGGTGGGTGGGTGGGGTAGGTGAGTGGGTTGGGTGGTGCTGGGTGGGTGGGTGGGTGGGTGGTGAAGGTGTTGCGCTTTGTGATGTTCTTTTGTTACTCAGGGCGATGACATCAGTGAAATAGTTCCGAGTCGTGGTGTGTCTCTCTCTCTCTCAGGTGAGGTATAGTGGGTGAGGTAAGTCAGGCACACCACGACCACAGTATCACCTTACATGTTCAAGGCACATGTTAACGCCACACAATACTGCTCCTCCTCCTCCTCTCCTCCTCCTCCTCCTCCTCCTCCTCCTCCCCTCCTCTTCCGCCTCCCTCCTCCTCTTTCTTCCTACTTTTCCCACACCTTCTTCCTGTCCCACACCTCCTCCCACACCCACCACTATGATTCTCCTCCTTCTTCTCCTTCCTCCTCCTCCTCCTCCCTCCTCCTCCTCCTCCTCCCTCCTCCTCCCTCCCTCCTCCTCTTATTCTTCCTACCACCATATTGCTCTCCGTTTATAAATTGTACTCTGAACTGTGACTACGCCCCTTCCTCCTTCTCCTCTTCTTCTCCTCCTCCTCCTCCTCCTCCTCCTCCTCCTCCTCCTCCTCCTCCTCCTCTCTCCTCTTCCTCTTCCTCTTTTATATATATTCTCAACCTATAACTCCTCCTTATCTACAGTTCAGGTCATATAAGAATTAAGATAATCAGCATTAGTTTATTCTGATACGTTAAGGTGAGGGAGGTGAGGGAGTCATTGTCCCTCACCTCCTCTCCCTGGTCACGTGAGGTCTAATCCCGTGATCGAAAAAGTTTTGCTTCGACCATAAAAAGTTATAAATATTTACACGGCCAGTTTCTTACATCACCGTAGCTTTATGTACGTTAGAAATGTGTACATGGTCATTATATCATGTAAACACAACACTATGTAGGTTAGAAATGTGTACATGGTCAGTATCTCATGTAAACACAACACTATGTAGGTTAAAAATGTGTACATGGTCAGTATCTCATGTAAACACAACACTGTGTAGGTTAGAAATGTGTACATGGTCAGTATCTCATGTAAACACAACACTGTGTAGGTTAGAAATGTGTACATGGTCAGTACATTATGTAAACACAACGCCATGTACGTTAGAATGTGTACATGGTCAGCCTATCAGAACAGACAGCCTCTACAGTGTTTAATAGCAATAAATCGTCGACGAAATTATTTACTTATTGTTAGGTAAGTTAATTAAATCCTGACCTGGGGAAATAACTGACTGACTGACTGACACCCTGAGAGAATTTTTTTTTACCTTCTCGCCGCTGCCAGGTGTATGACTACCCTCTACCTGGTAACCCTTCCTTTAATTAAGACATAAAATCTAACCTTTGACCTGTGATCTTGACTATAGATAAACAGGTAAAATCTTATTAATCTCTCTCTCTCTCTCTCTCTCTCTCTCTCTCTCTCTCTCTCTCTCTCTCTCTCTCTCTCTCTCGAATATTAGTGACGAAAGTGATAGTAAAAGGGGTGAAGAGAGGGAGGGTGAATGAAGAGAGGGGTGAGGGGAGGAGGTGAGAAGGGGGTGAGAGGAGGGGGAGGTGAGGTAGTGTACAGTATGTGCTTTAAGTTGTTTTTCCTTTTCTTCTTCTCCTTCTCTTTTCCCCTTCCTCCCCTCTTCCTACCTTTTCTTTCTCTCTTTCAACACTTTCCCTTCTCTTCTTCCTCCCCCTCTTCCTCTTCCTCCCCCTTCCCCTACCCCTCCTTTCTCTTTCTTTCTCCTCCTCTCCCTCCTCCTCCTCTTCCCCCCCCCCCTCCTCTTCCTCTACCCCTCTTCCCCATTGTGACACAGGAAGGGTGAACAGGTGAAAGCGACTGACTGTACACAAGGGAGATTTACCCTCACTTCTACACACAAAAAGAAACATTAATTAGTAAACGTCAAGTATGTGTGTGTGTGTGTGTGTGTGTGTGTGTGTGTGTGTGTGTGTGTGTGTGTGTGTGTGTCTGTGTATATGTGAAGGTAGAATGAGAAGAGGGAAACATCTGCACAGGTATTCCCCTGGCAGGAGGTGTAAGGACTAAGAGAGAACAGGTGTTTCTGTGTGGCGTCTTCCGTGTCTCTCCATTCACTGAGTTAAGTGGCCGAGCTGAAAGAAATGTGAGGGATAATGGTGAGGAAATTCAGACCACGTGAAGATTAGACAAAGCCACAGCTTGTTTCACCTGATAATTAAACACCCTAAGGCTAATTTAACGTAACCTAAATATTATAGAAATTCTTTAAGTTGTCGATAGTTATTAGGAGCGTTGCCTATATCAGAAATCACTATAGGCTCGATATGGGCTTCGGTGCCTTATAAACACAAAGCAGGAACGAGAGAAATTGGTTGGTGTAAACATTATGTAGTGTGTGTGTGCTGACTTCCTTCTCTCTACAGCTGACACTTCCTACTACATATCTGCTGACGTCCTCTCTACGGCTGACTCTTCTTCCTACATATCTGCTGACGTCCTGACTCCCCTACATTGCTAATATCGTAGAGTGATATCTAAAGTCAGTCCCTCCTCTGCTGACACTCCTGACACTTTCTCCTGACACTCCTGATATTTCCTCCTATGTATAATGCATATCGTAATGTCATTTTACCTCTCAGGTGCTTTGGTTTGCAAATGTCTCGCGTCTGTCCCAGTCCTGAGTTTTTGAGAAGCTGTCGTGTGTGTGTGTGTGTGTGTGTGTGTGTGTGTGTGTGTAGTGTAGTGTAGTGTAGTGTAGTGCAGTGTAGTGCAGTCATCCACCTACAACTTAGCAGCAACACAGACACACACACACACACACACACACACACACACGACCTCCGCCTACATACAGTCGCCTATTAACAAAGTCCTTTAAGCAAATGTACCCGGCAATTGGCACAAATGATTTCATTGTTACTGAATTTCATTAAGTTCCGGTTGGGTTTGCTCTCTCTCTCTCTCTCTCTCTCTCTCTCTCTCTCTCTCTCTCTCCAGTCTACAGCTGTTGATGATAGTGTTACCGAGTGGGAATTACTGTACCTCTGTTTTATACCCAAATCTGTACTTGTATTTGGTAACGTTGATCTCTCACTTCCCTCACCCCAGTAACCTCTCACCCCTCACCCTTCTCACCCCCTCATCCCCTCATCCCGTTCCTCACACCTGGGTAATCAAGGAGACCGTCACCTGTGTCATAATCAACCAGGTACGCGACACAACATTAAACCTCACCTGTTGTTTACCTGAGTCCCGTACCTATAATAAAGGCCCACATTATGCTCAGGGACTTGATGATGTGTGTGTGTGTGTGTGTGTGTGTGTGTGTGTGTTGAAGCCTATTAACTGTGTGTGGTTTTCTAGGCCTCTTATAAGCCTATTGATTGTTCCTTTGTAGTAAAAACTCAGATTATTCCCTAACTTTCATTCTTCTTTTCTTTACTAAACATACATTTCTATTTTCTAATTTACTAAGTTATTCTCCTTTATTATTCCAATTCCTTTGTATATCATCCCTTTTATCTCTCTATTTATCTAAGTATTCCATTTAAATTATGATTCGTTTTCTTTGTCAGAGAATTTCTCCATTGTATCAAAGATCAATATTCCTTGACAGCCAAAATCAGTGACTCGAGATGGTCTGTTGCCTTCTGCTTTCATGTCCGCCTGATTGTTGTGTTGGTCAGACCCGTGATTACTTCCGGGGAATGAGACCGATGGTGATTAAGGTAATTTTTTTTTTTTCTGTAATTTACTTATACTGACGAAGGTAAGGTCAGCGAGTGGTATATGCTGGCCTGGGGCGAGTTGACGAGTACCTCCCTTCACTGTGTGTCTGGCAGGAGTTGGAGTTGTTTTTTATAAGAGTCTATCCTTATAAATCTCATTACCTCACTCTATCCTTCTATCCTCTCCTCTCTCTTTCTCTCCTCTCTCCCCTCTCCCCTCTCTCCCCACTCTATCCCTCTCTATCCCCTCTGTCCCCTCTCTCTTTCTCTCCTCTCTCCCCTCTCCCCTCTCTCCCCACTCCCCCTCTAACAACCTCTACTGAATCATATGATCTCTTTGGACAATCTCCCAATTCCCGTTTTCTATAATAATGTCTTTAACATCGAATCAGTTACGTAGGATATCCATTTACACTAAGAGTTGGGGTACAAATATCCATGTGTGTTATCCTAGACAAGTTATCCGTCTTAGCATCCATGTTTCTTCTTTCCGCATATTGCTATCGCGTTCTCTGTTTCCTTTGATCTTCCTGTGAGTGAGGAGACAGACAGACAGAGAGACAGAAGGACTTGGGAGAGAGGGATGGACGGAAAGAATGTGATGGACAGTAAAAATAGAGACACAGACAGACCTGGGTGGGAAGGATGGCGGGAGGGAGGAATAGAGGAAAGGAGGGAGGGAGGGAGGGAGGGAGGGAGGGAGGGAGGGAAGGAAGGGGCGTTATTGGCAGTAGATACAGAGGGAAGCCTTAATCACTGCTCTTGTGGGTTATCATAATACTGTGGAGGTCAGCACCCACGTCCTTACCCTCCCTCCATCACTCCCTTACTTCCCTCCCTTCCTCCTTCTCTCCCTCCCTTCCACCCTCCTTCCCTCCCTCACCTCTCTCCCTCACCTCTCCCCTGGTCAAGGCTCAGGTCAGGTCAGGTTACACAATACAGTATTCGAGTTGAAGTTGGTGTGAGTCATTTAGTGAACACAAGTGACGGCTGTCCTGACGAATAATACATGAAACTGACCGCTGTAGTTATGTAGTAGTGATGATGTGGTGGTGATGGTGGTGTAATGGTGAGGATGGTGCTGTTGTGATGGTGAGGTAGGTGTGTGTGTGTGTGTGTGTGTGTGTGTGTGTGTGTGTGTGTGTGTTTTTTTATTATTATTATTTTTTTATTAAGTAGTAATAGTAGTAATAGTAATAATACATAGTTACGGTCTTATTTCTCATAATTTGTCCCATATATATATAATATCTCTCAATATTTTTCTTAATAAGAAAAAGTCTAATTAATAATGGCTCATTAGATACACGTCACCTTAAGCAAACGCATTCATTAATTTTTTGGAAGATTAAATTAGTGTCAGGTTGTGACTAATGGTGGTGGCGGTGGTAGTAGTGGTGGTGGTAGTAGTGGTGGTGGTAGTAGTGGTGGTGGTAGTAGTGGTGGTGGTAGTAGTGGTGGTGATGGTAGTAGTGGTGATAGTGACGATAATGGTGATGAAGGTGGTAGTGGTGATGCTGGTAATTACTTAATGACGCTGCATTTATTAATTATTTTTTTATATCATACTCACAATTTCAGTTATGCCTCTGTTTTTGTTGTTGTTGTTGTTGTTGTTGTTTTCATAAAAGTTGGCGGGAACTAAAGACAGCGATCCGTTCTTTCAAACGCTTGGATCTGTGAAGAAGAGAGAAAATAAACAAAATTAGAACGTATTGCACATTAGATAAAGGGTTTAATTTTCGTTAGTTATGTTTTTAACCCCTTGAGTACAATGACTTAACCCCTTCAGTACAATGACTTAACCCCTTCAGTACAATGACTTAACCCCTTCAGTACAATGACTTAACCCCTTCAGTACAATGACTTAACCCCTTCAGTACAATGACTTAATGTAAGCGATATTTAAATATTTCTTGCATTAAATACTGCTTGCGTTAACCATTCCTGACAATAATTACTGTTTAAGTTAAGGATACCTGACAATAAATACTACTTACGTTAAATATTCCTCCCATTAAATCCTACTTTCGATAACTATTCCTCTCATTAAATCCTACTTACGTTAACTATTCCTCCCATTAAATCCTACTTACGTTAACTATTCATCCCATTAAATCCTACTTACATCAAACATCACGTATACTAAGGGATCCGTCATATGAAAACTCTGAAAAAAAAGAGGTTTGGAAATTCATCGTTGTATCGGTGATATTTGAGCGAGTCGAAAAAAAAACTGGAAAAAAAACTGGAATATATGTGAATTGAGGACGAGAATTTGGTCACAGTGATGCAGCATTACCACAAAACAGTTCTAACTATCCCAGTTTTTTGGCGCTGTAATGTGAACCTGGATGGGTGGGCCGGGCCGAACCACTGGTACACAACGGTGGGGGTGGGGGTTATGGTCTCTGTCTGTCTGCCTGTCTCTCTGTCTCTTTATAGGCCTCAAAAAACTCACATACTTACTGAATAATTATCTCTCTCTCTCTCTCTCTCTCTCTCTCTCTCTCTCTCTCTCTCTCTCTCTCTCTCTCTCTCATACACAGGAAAAAATATATATATATCGTTAGACAAAAAAATATACCAACTTGGTTAATATATAAAAAGTATAAAAATGATTATAGCATAAATTATTCTATTTGTATTTTGTCATCAAGTTACAAGTGTCTGCATTTTGTAAATTATAAACACGAAATAAAATGTTAAAAGGGAGTTAGTATTCTCTTACACACACACACACACACACACACACACTGAAACGAACATATTCTGGGTGACATTATTCATGTAAAAATATTTGTTGTATAATTCTGGCTAAAAAAGAAATAATTTATGATTCTCACACAGAACTAAACCCTACGATGATTTTTTTCTCGTAAGTGAAAATTTGTGGGAATGGACGTGAATGGTTAACTTCAGGTAGAGGGAGTTTTTTAAAGTAATTTTCTACCTTAATTTAGGGAGATATATTTTGTTAGTAGAGACAGACAGACAGACAGACAGACAGAAAGACAGACAGACAGACAGACAGAAAGACAGACAAAGACATAGGGCAGAAAGAGAGAGAGAGAGACAGACAGACAGACAGACAGACAGAAAGACAGACAACGACATAGGGCAGAAAGAGAGAGAGACAGACAGGCAGACAGACGGACAGAGAAAAAATAAAGAAAGATACAGACAGACAGACAGATAGACAGGCAGACAGATAGACAGAGTAACTAGTTAAGTGGTTATCAAACACAATCTTTTTCTTAAATTACTGAAATCATATTACAATAAAATTTATGACCTGGAGTTGTAAGCCAGAGGTCCGTCTGTTTGTCTGTCTGTCTGTCTGTCTCTGAAGGAAACGTGTCAAAAACGGTAAAAACAATAATGTGTCGGCTGTTGGCCAAGGAGAAAATTGTTTTATTTTTGGTGAGAATAAGTTAGAGTTTGGTTTACAGTTCTGGAGAGAGAGAGAGAGAGAGAGAGAGAGAGAGAGAGAGAGAGAGAGAGAGAGAGAGATCACGATTACCCTTCCTTTTAACTCATCAACTTCCGGACTGAAGAGAAACTATAATCTTGAGGCATCTTTTAGTGTGTGTGTGTGTGTGTGTGTGTGTGTGTGTGTGTGTTCTTCCGGCTCTGTGTACTCTGTGTAGTGAGTACCACCGACCGTGTGTACTCAGCCTACCCTACCCTGTGTGTATAGATACTCGGTGTTAACATTTTATTGAAAAGGTCTTGATGTCACGGGGTCTTTAAGCATTAACTGAAGAAGTCTTATTAAGCGTTAACCCAAGTCTTATTAAGCGTTAACCCAAGTCTTATTAAGCGTTAACCCAAGTCTTATCATCAAGGTTTTAACTCAGCTCCTTACTAAAACACCCACAACAACACCAAGCTCCTGTGGGTGGGTCATGATTCAAGAGCTTCACCCACAATCTTCCCTTCACAAGACCTTAATTCTGGAGCGGTGATTTTGTACACATCTGAACACCAATCTGGAGAGACCATTTCAAACATACAATGGTATTTTTAGCTCGTGTTTCTAGTACTATTGCTAAAATAAACTGAAAAAATAAACATTCACAAATTCTGTAATCTTGTCACAGGGATCAATATTAAGATTTTTTTGGAGAGGCTGTGTTCTCCTGAGGTAGTGGTCACGCGTGTAGACGTCGGTGGTGGTGAGGGAGTGGGGAGGGGGGGGTGTTCATCTTCGATCGATTCTCCGTCATGTGTAAATCCCTTTGGCTATCGCGTCTCTGTAACAAACGAGGGTCAGGTCCCATCCCCTCACCCCACCCCTCACTCTCACCCCTCATTACCCCCCCCCTCATCTTTCCCCTTCATGCCCCTTCCTCCCACCCCAAGACACTGACCAAGCGTTTAAGGATTTTTTTTCCAGGATATATATTTCCCTGTATTAAAATTTTACTTCCGGTGCGTTGCTTGAGGTTTTATAAGACCGTCGTTGTGTGGTCTAGGAAAAAAACCAGTAATATTTCTGAACCATAGATGTAAATAAAACATGACCTTGGATTTGATTTTGAAATACAAGTGTTATTTTAAATGAATTTTGATCACGTGATATATATTGCCAATTAACTTACTTATTGAGAAAATGCAAGTAAGAGCTAAAAGAGGACACACACACACACACACACACACACACACACACACACACACACACACACACACACACACACGCGGGGACGCACTGGGTACACTGGGCCGTTAAAGAAAGAAATTACAATCTGTCAGCCAGACGAGGCCAGTGTGGCCATATCTGTGGCCCTCACCCCCAGCTAGTGTAGCCAAAGCTGTGGCCCTCACCCCCCAGTCAGTGTAGCCAAAGCTGTAGCTAAGCCATCCTCCCACCTGGCCACCCCACACTTCTCCCCTCAAATACCTTCTCCCCATCTCCCCCTTCCACCATTATCTTCCTCCAGTCTCCCCTTTCCACCAAACTCTCCCCAATCTCCCCTTCCAACCATTCTTTCCTCCCCCGTCTCTCTCTCACCCCCCTGGCAGCTGGTCTTAACTCCCCACAACTCAGTCCAGCGACAAAAACACAGAACAAGAAGGTAAAAAAAAAAAAGTGTGTTGAGGAAGGAACAAAAATAAGATCCTCGTCACGAAAATCTGACAAGGAAGGACTGAGAATAAGAGTGGTAATTAAGACGTCAGGAACAGGCAGGTGGAGGTTTTAGTCTCAGGCGACAAAGGTGATGTATTACCTGCCTACCTGCCTGCCTACCTACCTACCTGTCCGTGTGGGGAGGTGGAGGTGGAGGAGAGGGAAAATGGTGGAAGGGGGACGAGGAAGGGGATAAGGTGGAAGAAGAGGAGAAGGAGAATAAATGGAAGAAGAGGAGGAATAAGAAGGGGTAAAGGGGGAAGAGGAGGAGGAATGAGGAGGAAAAAAGAGGAGGTAGAGGCCAGGGTGAGGTTAAAGGTATGATGAGAGAGAAAGAGAAAGGTGATGTAAGCCTACCTACCTACCTACCTACCTACCTACCTACCTGTCTACCTACCTACCTGTCTACCTACCTACCTACCTGTTTACCTATTTACCTACCTGCCTACTTACCTACCTACCTACCTACCTACCTGTCTACCTACCTACCCACCTGTTTACCTACTTACCTACCTACCTGTCTACCTACCTACCTACTTACCTACCGACCTACTTGTCCGTGTGAGAAGGAGGAGGAGAAAGAGAAGGAGGAAGTACAGACAGACGAAGAATAAGAGGGACGGAAAAAACGAAGAAAATATAAGAGCTCGAAGAAAACAAATGAGAGAGAGGTGTGTGTGTGTGTGTGTGTGTGTGTGTGTGTGTGTTTACCTGATCATAATTAACACCTTTCCCACCACGAGACTGACACAACTACCATTATATCATCCCTCCCAGACTAAAGTTACAACGCTAATAATTTTGTCACGACTAAAACCACCATTGAATTAAAAACACTCACAGTAAAACTTTTATTTATTGTTAATGTCTTGTTCATGTTTCATACCGTGAGGCAGTTATGAGTGAGTGTTATAGTGAGAATGTGTTGTGTACAGTGTAGAGGGGTGTAGGGAAGTATGGTGAGTGAGGTATATGGTGTCTGTCTGTGTCTTTCTGCAACGTAAATTATATCTCTGTTCCACATTCTCTCTCTCTCTCTCTCTCTCTCTCTCTCTCTCTCTCTCTCTCTCTCTCTCTCTCTCTCTCTCACACGATATTCATTTTACATGCAGAATAAATTTACGACCGGACAAACACCTCAGCTTGAATGAATGATGTACCGTTATACACTTTTCTGACTGTAGTTTATTCAGTGAGCGTTACAGCGGAGTCTTACAGAGGGAACGTAAGATTGTTTACATTACATAACTTCACTGTATTATGTACTTTTATGAGGAACGTATTGAGTGTAGTTTGAAAATCCTATTGGAACGTAAGAGTGAATGTGTCGAGTGTTATAGGAACGTGTACGCCTATAGTGAACGTGCCAAGGGTTATAGGAATGTATGCTCCTATAGTGAACGTGCCAAGGGTTATAGGAATGTATGCTCCTATAGTGAACGTAAAGTGAACGCGTCAAGTGATTTAAGAACGTTTGCACCTATTGTGAACGTAAAGTGAACGTGCCTAGGTTATTAGAACTTATACGTCTATAGTGAACGTACCT